GGCCACGCTGAGTCGAATGGTGATGTTTATTTTTAGTTTCAAATCGACCTAAAGTCACAATATCAAGATTTTCGAAATATCCGCTTTATACGCAACATAGCGGTAGCATGCTTTAATTTGAAAATCTTGATATAGTGACTTTAGGTCGATTTGAAACTAAAAATAAACATCACCATTCGACTCAGCGTGGCCGATTACCCCTATCTTGGCCCATTTTAGGATCATCCAAGGTCAACTGGCCGAAATCGGGGTGCTCGGGAAAACGCTTATAATTCCTGAATTGTAAGAGGTAGATAGTTAAGGCTGGTCTAGAATTGTAGATCTCGGTTCGTGCTATCGGTTGCACTGTTTGAAAATCAGAATCCATCGTACGGTCCAGGAACGGCGGTCTCGTAAACTTTGCATCGACAGGCCTACCATGGTAAACCTTACCTGAAAGCCTAGTTTTTGTATACGCTTACGTCCCCCAATGTTCTCTATCCAACGATGGAAACCGCATGTCTCTATCACTTTTCGTTCAAATGTGATAAGCACTCTGTTGAGCCGCCTCGTTTTCAGAAAAGGATAATATGATATATATTAAATCATTTAAACTGACAATGAGTATCAATAATCCGACACAATTATTTGACTTCTTTTATAGTTGTCATTCGAAGTGCTCCTAGGATAAGAAAACAGTAACATGTGAACAATCATCTTTTATTAACGAAAACAAAAAAGCACCATTATAATTTTTAACACATCTCATTTTCTCTATGTTTTGATTATATATCCCCCATTTGATATCACAAAACTATCGCTATTGTTCATCATAACACTACAACTTGTCTCATCTCTTACATCCAATTGACTACGTGTTTTATAGGTTGAAGAAAAATCTAAATAAGATGAATCAATATTATTTCGTTTTCGTTGTCGTTTATTTTTTATCGTTTGTGTACCAACAGTTATTTGAGAAGAAAATTTTTGATCGGTTATCGGTGTTAACTCTGTTACTGCCATACTTGGACGTGTGTATAAATGACTCGCAGTATTTTGATTATTTGTTAAATTGGTTAATGGAGCATTTGAACAACGCGAAACAAATGATGGATGATGATTAGTCTGACGATTTTGTTTTATACGTTGACGAATACTTTCATTATTCAAATATAAATGCCGTTTTGTATAACGACAACAAAGTAAATCAATGAATGATGAACGAAAGTTTTTTGACATAAAACCATATAAGATTGGATTTGTACACTAAGAATAGAGAGCGAGAAGACAGACTATAGGATTTAATTCGTTAAAAAACATCTTACCGAGTTTAAATAGGCAAAAACATTGGCACATGTTGAAAGAATATCCATATATACTTCGTGTTTGTGTGCTGTATTTTTTGATAAAATAACGTTTGATACAAATAATAACTGCATTGAAAACCAACATGTTGCATATGTCAAAACAACAGCTAAAATCATTCGTGTTGCACGTCTTTTCGATCGATTTACTTGACTACCATGAGCACCACGTAAGAATTTTAACATTAAACCATACAAGATTACAATACATATTAACGGTAATGCATACAAAAAAACCACAAATCCAATCCAATAGACGGATGCTTGATACGGTAGGGCATCGGTCATCGTATTTGTAGTTGTTATCGGATTATATTCGACTATTCGCGAAGAATAGTGTGACGTCCTATTTATTAATGATGGTGATGGTGGTGGTGGTGATGACGATGATGATGATACAGAATAGTTCGTACGTAAATACTTTAGTAAACAATACAATGCTGGATCTTTTTCATTCTCATCATTAAAATTAAGTACAGTAAATAAGGAGCCAATTGGTAATGAAATGGTGACACCAATAAGCCATAGTGTTCTGAAATTATAGAAAAATGTATTATTAATGTTTATTAAAGTAGACACATTCAAAAATACATTAGATCCTATCATAATATTAGCGTTACAGCCAACAATACTATCCAGTTTCGGAATAAACGAATCGTGGATACTTTTCAAATAGTTTTTAGTAAAAATGAGATAGACTTGTGGGTTTCGCTACTCCGCAAAGAAGATTAGGAGTCGTTTATTCACAATTTTCAGGAAATCTGATATCATATCTAAACCATGATAGATAAAGAGTCTGAAAGACTCTTATTTGTTAAAAGACACACTCACTTTAAACTGTCTTCTGCAATAAAAATATAAATATATTACTCTTTCGAATTTTAAGAATTGAACGGATTTTCTAGCCATTGTTTTCTAAAGCCTATGTTATAAAAACGTTTTTCAATTTATTTTTGATGAAAAGATTGACTCTAACTAAATAATGAAAGTAATTCGAATGTCTCTATCTCATTTCTATTAAAAATTATTTAAAAAATATCCACGATCCGTATATATTTTAAATCGAATTAATTGACTTCTTTAAATTAAATGCAATTTACTTTTTTTTGAATCAGATTCATTGAGAATTAAGTCTATTAATTGTATAATACTATTATAACATTGTTATTACTTACGAAAGAGTGCTGTAGAAATAATAGTTATCAAATGCTTACGTTATACAAATTGTTGTATTTTTCGGTGTACGATAGGATTTAATAGAATCCATTGCCCTTACCACAGCCAAATACCTAAATGAGTCTTTTCATAAAAAATAATAGCTGATTAGATACAAAAAATTATTTCATACCGATCAAATGACATGGCCACTAATAGATAGATACTCATGAATGCTGACAAATGATTAATAAATTGAGCTAAAAAAACATTAAATATAATCAGTAGAAGAAATAAAAATCAAAAAAAAAATATATTTCAAATATTATTATCAATCAGTAAATTTTTTTATAAATATTTTCTTGTTTGATCTATGAAATCAATGTATGTTTTCAGTTGCCCTGATCCAGTATGATTGCTATTATAATTGTATAGTAAACAAATGAAAGTAACATTATACTTATTATTTTATTTAGAATAATTAAAATTTGAATTTTTATTACCTAATTTACATCCAAATGCTCCAAATGGCCATCTACCTATATTTGCAAGTGTATATAAAGTTGTGGGTATACAAAATATGATAAATAAAATATCAGCTACTGCTAAATTAAATATTAATAAATTTGTTGGTGTTTGCATGCCCTTGTTTAATCCAATACCAATTAATACTAATGAATTTCCGATAAGACCACAAATAAAAAATATTCCAAATAAACATATTTTAAGTAAAGTTAATTGAGTAAATTCATTTTGATCAATTTGTGATAATGTTGTATTCATTGTTATTGTTGTTGATAAATTAAAATTTATATTATTATTAGTTGTGTCCATTTTTATAAATTATATAATTATATACATAATTGAAATATCATTTGATAATTTTAAATATTGATAATTGATAGTTTTATTAACGTATACATAATAAAGATCAACTAAAATTCAAGAATAAATTATTAAACAGTGTGAAATGAATTAAATTTAAAAATTTAGATTATAAAATAATTGCATTCAAACGATGAATAATTCTCATCTATTCGCTTCTAAATCATTTATTAGTTTTTTTTATAAAAGAGTTTTGTTTTCAATAAAAGTATGAGAGAGATTATAGAGAAGATTTTTTTTTTTTACGATATTTTTATAACGATCAATAAGATGAATGATTATTATAAGTGAGTTTACGGAACATTGCTACTATTATTTGAAAAATAAGATTGATGAAAAAACCTCTTGTTTTCCAGTCTTGACGGACATGTTGATCTATGAAAATGATTTCCCACTGACAGTTTATTGACATATTTTGTTTTCTCAATGGTATCTGCCAAGATAGTTTATATATATATATGTGTGTGTGTGTGTGTGTGTGGATGTGTGTATGCTATTGATAACAGGATTTCAATATATTAAATAACTATAGGATAATAGATCTTCTAATTCTATCCAAATATTCATATTAAACTCTAATTTAAAATATATTTGCGTTTACAATAAGAAGAAACAATATTTTGATATAAATGAGAGTCAAATGCGTATTCTGATTGGCAAAGTTAAATTTTAATAAAAAAATAAAATCTTTTTAATGGCTTACAAGCAGAATTAAATTATATAAATATGTATATATATATACATATATATTCAGCATAATTCCTGTATATTAGTGGCGATTGATAGAGCTCAAATGAAGTGAAAAATGTCTGTTTTTTTTTTTTAAAAGACACTATTTTCACTAACAACAGAGATGAACATTCATCTAATTTATTAGTGGAGAAATTTTTATTGTTATTTTAGTTTACTCAGTGTTCAATTGATTTTAATACCTACAGTTAAAGTAGAAAACAAAGAAACAGTATTGTAATCTCAATTCGACTATTATACATACAATATATTTAGAATTTCTATAAATAATGAGGGAACAAGGAGGGGGTATATTGATTATAGCTTGAAAAATCTAATTGTTTTACATAGGGTCATAAATCAAGACGTCATTTGATTATGGAGTGTCGTTAAAAAATATAACGAAAACTAAGTGAATGAAAAAACTTAGATGCGATAAAAATCTTTTTTTGAGCAGTACGATTGCTCTTTCGAAAAAAAAAAAAAAAATTTATTAATTCATAACAGAAAAACATCAGTAACATCAATCTCTCTCTCTCTCTTCTTTTGTCTTCTCTCTTATTTAGAAACTAATAGATAAAAAAAAGAAATTATTTTTTTTTCGTCTTTTTTTGTTGTTGTTGCGGGTGATGAAGAAAAGCATCCACTTTTGAACCACAAATCTCTCAATGTTTCTATTTTTTTCATATTATTTCATAAGTATAATGAAAATTACAAATTAGCATTAAATTTGACAAAAACATTCGTTTTTTTATTCAACATTAGAAAAACTACCTGTTTCGAACAGATGTCATGACATGTGTGTAGTATAAAACTTGAGAATAGAGTGACTTAGAAATTTGAAGCACGAAATATCAATTTGATTTCTTTTCTTTTTCTATGGTTGAACAACAAAAAAGTCTTAAGACTACGTCCCGAATATACAATAGAAGGAAACGCTAACGGATGCATATAAGGACTGTTCAGAGATCCACAGTAAATAATAATAATAATAATAATAATAATAATCAGAACTGTAAAAAGAAAAATAATACAAAAAAAACTAAGCTATCTTAGTCAAATATTTAAAGAAATTCAGTTCGGGAATGATCTTTATCCATGCATTAAAAAATATATTTTCTTATTTAATTACCTAATTCTCAACAGGATATAGATTGTACTTTTTTTTTTGATCTGCATGAGAGTTATGACAAAAGTCGGATGGCTACTCAGCATTTTCATCATTGACATTAATTTTTGTAAAAAACAATGTTAATCAACAAGAGTTTGATTGTCTTAAAGAGAAAAGAATTAAGATGGTACTTAAACACAATCGTCGAGTCGTAATAATCTCTAGTTATATATAATGTGACAGTTTTTAAATGATGTTTCGTTGACATTTTACAGCTGTATACGTTATAGACAATCTCTGTTTTTTATATGTTACATACCTCATGTCATCACTTTATATCCATTTTTAAGATTTTCCATCAACTAACCTGCATTGTGTATATTACCTTGATCTCTTTGTACATTTAAAAAGAAAAGAAAATTTTCTATGTCTAAAAACTAATCGTTTGCCACAGATCATTAGCATATATTTCCATCTTTTTAAGAATATATATTTGACTAATGGGTCTATCTTAGTTCTGTTAGATCGATCAATGACCAACTATACTAATGCCTTTCTCCTCATGAAAAATAAACAAATGCGAGGCTAATAGTATATTAACTTTATATAGGGATGAACGACAGAGTTTTAGCTTCTTTCTGATTTATAGTTACTGTTACTTCCTATCACTACTGCTACTATTATTACATATCGATCTATATATTGGATATGCAAGAAAAGAATACGCAAGTGTTCTCATAGATGTTTTTATAACAATGAGTATGTTCTCTTATTAGGAATATATCTTATCTTATCTAATCGTTCTTAGAGAGAAACATTATCAAGTTAAATAACATAACATTCTTATGTTGCGCTGTTTCAATAATTGTTTATATCTGTTTAGACAGATTGCGAAGATATAGAAACAAATTGATTATTTAGAGAATTGTGCATGCTTACCAAATTAAACCATAAAATGATGTCGTCATTGAACGTATAATATAAGCGTTCAGTCAATAAAAACAAAAATAAAAAATTCTTGGTTATCTATCTGCTAGATAGGATCAATGCAATTAAAACGAACTACGCCATTTTACTCCGATAATTATTACTTTTTCATCTTCTGTGAAGATACCACCAGTTGTGTTCGTTAAGGAGGAAATCACGTTATGCTATACAAATTTTATTCAAATAGTCACATATATTCTTCTCATAAATATGAAAAAATATTTAAATGATTTCTTTAAGATTGTAACATAATTTTATCTGTTAGAGACTAATTATTTCACTTTGTTGACGATGTTTTAAAACATAACTACCTTCTTTTTAATTCTATACTATGTTTCACATACTAATTTGATTTACTATATATCCAATACAATGTGTTGGATATATATATATATAATGGTATATTTTTGATATAATTTTAAAGTAACACTAAAAAGAAATGATATTTTTTTCCCAAATCCTTAAATATAGGTTACATCATATATTTTTCAAAAACAACAATGAGTATATAGTCAGTCTCATTTTCAAGTCAAGCAAAATTAGATGTTACTACTAGTAATTTGTTCGTTCTACCAAATTTAATCTTGTTTTGTATAATACATGCACTAAACAGCAATCTCTATATGTTTTGTCGGTTAAATTAGTTAACGCTAAATCGGATAAGATAATATATATATATATATATATACAATATACATAGATATCTATGACATCCCGAATGTAATATGGATTTTTTAGGGTTCAATATTTGTTATTTATTATCAACGGAACAAATTTGGCGATTTGTCATAAATACACACATTATAACACCACTGTAGTGTGTGCCCCATGAGAAACAACAACACTAATTTTGTATTAAGACAGAGAAAAGAATAGAAGAGAATATCCTTTAGACGACTGTTATCCAACGTGTTTGCTATTGTTAAGTATGTATTATTACTGGTGTCGTGCCTAGTATAATCTAATGACGCTATAGCATAGTTTTGGAGAAAGAGAAAGAGAAAGAGAGAGAGAGAGAGAGAGAGAGAGAGAGAGAGAGAAGAGAAATGTTCATGATAGATTTAGATAAAAACAAATTTTCTATCAGGAGTTGAACTTGATCTAGTCGGACAGAACATTACTAGAATTATTATCTGATATCAGACAAATTACGTACTTTTATATTTGATAAGAATATTTATAATAAAAATTTTGTATCTACATTTGCGCATTAAAAATGTGTGTAGACGATCAAAGTTTCTTGACTACTGGTTATGAAAAAATTTGAAAATTTTTGAAAAAAAAATTTGATGTTTTAAATAAATGTGTTTACTGATCGAGAACTAATCAAGCTATGTGGATAATGATGATAGAGTACAAAAGAAAAGATAATATGATTTAAAATCTTTAATTTGAAAGAAAAAATATCAAGTTTTTTTCAATATTCGCTCATTTTCATACGAAAACAACTTTTCATTATCTATTTTCCAAGTTCTTCAGTACAAAATCTTGTGATTTTCTATGATAGTGATGCACATCTCTATTGAACACGTATGTAAACAAACACTTATTAGAATTACTTATCCATTAAACAGTAGAATATTGTTTATCTCTTATATTAACGCATTTTTTCTGTGAATGAGCAAAAAGAAAATCATGCGTTAACAGTTGACTTAATTTTTCTAGGGAATATTTGATTTTTGTCAGTCTTGAAATGTGACTGAACATAAATAACAAAAAAAAAAGAATAAAAATAACAAGTTGTAGAAAATATCTTTCATTCATGTGCACTAAGTGTAAATTTCCTCATGTTTTATATTCATCTTTCATTGAAAAAACATCGTTCAATGGATCAAATATAGACGTAACTTTCTGTCAAAATGATTTTTTAAAATATAACTTGTTTGTGAGGAATCGTCTGGACAGCTAATGAGATATAAGTATCTAAATCATTTTTAAAGTAAACGAGAAAATAAAAAAACTTAGCGATTTTGCTAAAAGTTATATTTTGACTCTTGCGCCACCTATATCCTTTGAACAATTGAATACTTTGAGGTAAAATTGTTTTTAATTATCAGTTCATGGATTCTCTGAAAGCTTGATTCAAATTAAACACGATGTGGGAAAACGCTTTCTGTTCCTT